CCTGATTTAATAAATCTCCCACTTCAGGATGAATACTACTTACCTGTATGGTATTTTCATGATGTGAGATGGAACTATATTTCAATTTTGATGAAATGAGAAAGCTGATTAAGTTACTTCAAATAATGTTTATCATTTTATAAATAATAAAAAATTCTGAAAATTCTTATTTTCTAAGCATTCTAGGAACATATTCTGTGCATTCTGTGCATTCTGAGAAATTTATATAAACAATGTCCCCTCAATCGCGTCTACTCGCTGCATTTATTGCATTTTGATCATATTTACATGTTATTCTGGTTGCTTTAGCAACTTCGATACTGATGCAATGGTCAACAGAAAAAAAATTATAATCAAATTATGTATACATTATTATTTCGTAATGTCGAACAATGTCCATGCGCAGTCAATAATTTTACGCATCAATATCACAAAGATTTCGAGATAACTAATCAACCCAAATTTTTATGAATATATATTTTTAAAAATTTCCATAATTGATTGTTGTTAACTTCTTTTTTTTTTGAATAAGAAAAATAGATGCATCTGGAAATATCTGATAGAATCATTAATTCTGACCAATGAATAAAAATTGGAAAATTTCACGTGATTTCAGCGACAACAGGTCCAAATTTGCCAAGAAAAATAAAGCCTTTTCAGGCGAACAATACAGGAATAAATCAAGGTAGAATTTGCTCGTATATTATTTCACAAAATTCGCCAGTGAAACCTAGCATTCATACGAATATTGCTAAAACCTTGGTCATGCCAGAAGGGAACGACGTTTAATCCTCCTGAAGCTTTTTACATGGTCAGATGCAACGGAATCCTCACTAGAAAAGTGTACGATCCAAACATAAAACTGGTCGGCATACTTAATTACCCGATCAAAATGTTTTATAAGTTTAGGTACAGATCCTGATGCTACAAGTTCAAGGACAGCTTCTTAATTGTCAGGTCGCAGTAAAAATGATGGTAGTCACCATCATCGCACACTTCTCGAGATGCACTGGCCAGTTATTTCGAAGCCATGCACTATTGCAAGCCAATTCACTAAGATCCTATACATCTCAGCATCATACGTGCTCTCCCGAGGAACTTTCACATTTTGTTCAGAATCTACTAACAAATGACCCATACAGTAGACTTCACGGTCTCTAGAATATTTATCGATCCATCTGCTTGTAAAGGTACATCCACACTCGGACAGAAGCAACTTATTTCTGGGACTATACATTGCTTCTTCGAAGAGAAGTTTGTGGAAGCTGATTCTCTTTGCCTTTTTCCTAATGATGATGGTTGTGATGATGGCTGTGGTATTGATGATGATGTTGCCGGTACCTTTATTAACATCAGC